GCTCAGGAGGCTATTTTCACTCTTTAATGGAACAACAATTGTTTTTCAGACTTAATTCGCAAAGGTTTCTTAGAATATTAATTACTCAAGGTGATTGTTAGCAGATTACTTAATAGCCAGTTTTATAAGGAATTTTATAGGGGCCTGAGAACTTGAGATGGTACTTTATAAGAAAAAGTAATATTTAGAGGGAGAAGGTTGCCTAATTAAAGTTTCATATTTGCATATTAGAGGAACATTGTGTCCTTGCTTGAGTCTGATGCCTCTCTTCATCCTATCATTTCTGGTCACTTCCATGATAATTACCTTTTTTTCTTTTGTATCTATTATGGTATTAAAAGAAAGGGAATTCTGATAGTACACCTTGTAGAGCTAAATCCTTAATCCTAGGAAGTTTTACTACCACTAAGATCTATCACTAAATGTAAATAAACTCTGTAAAAGAAGTTAAAGAACAACCCTGAAAAATAAGAACAAGTACATAAACACACACACACATACCTCGAGTTTATGTGTGTATGTATTTTATGTTTTTCCTTAGTTAAGTGATATTATGAATGGACAAATCTGTACATAGTAATACTGTTGGCAAGTATAGTAAGTAACTCAATGTAATCTTTTCCATTGATATTCCCTGGCAACTATGATAATATTTAAATTAAAAATCCAAAAGATGAAGTTTGACAAAATATCATTAGTAAAAATACAAAGAAAAGAGAAAATTAATGTTGTGATGAGCAGCTACCATGTACCAAACACTGTGTAAACTTGTAAATGCTAGATTTGATAACATTATAAAAATATCATAATCATTTTTCAAATTTTTTTATTTGAGAGGCAGAAAGACAGAGAAAAAAGGATAAATGGACAAGAGATCTTCCAACTGCAGGTTCACTCTCCAAATACAATATGATGAGAGCTGGGCTTGGGGTAGAGTTAGGAGCTGGGAGCTCAACACTGTTCTCCCATAAAGGTGGTAGGAACCCAATTACTTAATCCATCACTGCTGCCTGCCAGGGTTTATAATAGCAGGAAGCTGAAATTAGAAGCTGGAGCCAGGAATCAAACCCAGGTATTTGAATGTGGAACACGGGTTTCTTTAACGATTAGGCTAAATACCTACTCCCTAATTTTTTTTTTTTTTTTTTAATGAAGAGAAAATAAATTCAAATAGCAGTCATTTACTGAAGATGGCCTGGCTGGTAAGGAATAGGACAGGGATCCAGGTGAAATGTATTTTCTGAGTCCATATGCATTTCATGTACTCTTTAGAGTATAAAATTTGAATATTATCAATAAATAAATATAACTATGTCTAAAAAGCAGCTGAAGATGGCCCGAGTGCTTGGGCAACTGCACCCATGTAGGAGACCTGGAAGAAGCTCCTGGCTTTGGTCTGGCCTAGCCCTGGTCCTGAAAGCTATATGGGGAGTGAACCAGTGGATGGAAGACCTCTTTGCTCCCTCTCTCTGTCTCTCTTTATTTCTTTCTACAACTCTTTCAGTAAATGAATAAACCTTTAAAACCAAAATATTTTAAAAATTTGACAAATAATTTGCTAAATATTTTTCATTTACCACATGATATTTTGAAATATATATACACGGTGGAACGGCTATTTTCACATATACATTACATCACGTAGTTGTCATTTGGCAGGCCTGCCACTTTATAACATGATCTGCCCTCCTTTGAGGGAAATAGATTATTTTAACCACTGTTTATTAAAAGTGTCTGGCCTCAGGTTTCATTTAAATGTTTCCTATCTCAACTCCTTCTTCCTCTGGGTCTCTTTCTCTGTAGGATTCAATTCAGTGATTTAAGACACAGTTTGCTGACAAGAAATCCTGAGAACCCATTATGAAAATGAAGGCAGCAAACAACCTTTGAATGTATTTCCCAATTTAAAAGCCTTCATGACATAGCACATTTCAGGCCGAGATTGTTAAAAATTTATCATAGTTTCAGTAATTGTAGCTTAGTCTGGAAGCTTGGCATGATGTACAATCATTTGTAAAATGTATATTTTGTTTGGCACTCAGTAGGAAGCTTGCCAGGAAATACATTTAATTAAGAACCTCGGAGAGAGAAAAACTGTGGTCTGCCATAGTGTGTTATCATTTACTTTTAAGTTCTGAAAGTTATTGTTATTTTAGGACAGTGGTTTTGTAACAAGGTATGTATTTAAGGTTAGAGGTAATTTTCCTTTTATCGGCTCAGAGTTTTTATATAGGGAAATATATTATTTTGAGGGGAAGGGTGCATTAGCTGCATTCCTTGGATATAACTTATTGTCTATTGTTCAAGCTATGAGTACCTTAGCTGCTCTCCTTAGAAACAACCTTTGTCCATTGTTTAAGACCTTGAAAATTGATGCATTGCCTTGTGGGAGCTTAGACAGCTTTATTTAAGTTTAACTTTCTCTGGAGATGCATAGAAATAATGAAATGCAATGCCTTTCTTGAACATAACCATGTACATAACATTGATTCCTCCCTGATGCATAAAGTGAATTTGGTAAGAGCAACTCAAATATTGTAATGATGAACGTTGATTTTTTTCTCCCTTACATTACAAAGCTACCTGTGTCAGCAGATTCAGACGGGAGTGAAGATAACCATCTCTGAGGGTGGGTTTTCACTGCGCTAGACACCCCATTCTGTTTTTACAGGAAGATTTGTTTATAACAATTTTGAGAGGCATCATGGGGAAAAGATACTGCAAGGACCCTTTTAGACATATAATGCCCAAGCTTTTTGGTGTTCAGTATTTCAGGTATAGAATTCTCTAATGATTTAACTTCACTTGACCCATATCTGTGTTTTATCACTGCATAGCATTACTCTTAATGAACACAGATTTTCCTCTAATAACAGATCTTACCTGATTTTACCGTAGGGCATCCACCCTCAAGATCTGTCCAGTGTATAAATAATATACGGAGATAGATTGTTTCCACTCTATTTCTCTCTTTTTTAAAAAAGATTTATTTATTTATTTGAAAGACAGAGTTACAGAGAGAGGCGTGCACACACACACACACATGGGGAGAGAGAGAGAGAGAGAAGAAAGGAGAGAAGAGAAAGGAGAGAAGAGAAGAGAGAGAGGGGTTCCATCCTCTAGTTCACTTCCCAGATGGCTGCAATGGCCAGGAACTGCACCTATTCGAAGCCAGGAGCCAGCAGGAGCTTCTTAGAATTCTCCCACGTGGGTGCAGGGACCCAAGGACTTGGGCCATCTTCTACTGCTTTCCCAGGCCACAGCAGAGAGCTGGATCAGAAGTGGAGCAGCTGGGACTTGAAAAGGTGTCCATATGGGATGCCCCACCGCAGTGGAAGCTTTATCTGCTACACAACAGCACTGGCCCCTCTATTTCTCTTTTAACTCCATATACGTTAGCTCAAAACCTTTCTTTTCTTACTCTAACTCATTCCTCTGTTCCACTTTGCCTATTACCACGCCTTCCCTGGAAGCATCAAAGCAATTGCTCTAGTGAACCATGCTTTCAGGGTCTCATTCCTTGCTGTGAGCTAGGAATAGAAATCCAATAATAAAAACTTTGACATTCAATGTGGTGATACTCAGAGTTAGGATTTAAGGAGAGGATTAGTTGTGAGTGGATAGAAGAGCTGCATTCATTCAGGTAATCATAGATTCTTTTTTAGCCAGGTCTGAATGCCTTAAGGGCTGATGCTGAGGCAAGAGTGCTGTTTAGGAGATCTGTCATTCTATGAGTCTGCTGTGTATCCCCCTTCCTATGTTGGATCATTCTCTCTCTTTTTTATTCTATCAGTTAGTATTAGCAGACACTAGTCTTATTTATGTGATCCTTTTGACACTTAAACATTTTCTATTTATGAGAGTATTTCAGGCATGGAAAGCCAAGGTTCTGTGGCAAAAAAAAAAAAAATGACCTAAATGAAAGATCTCTGTGAGTGAGATCCCAGTAGAAATAACAGGCCATCAAAGAAGGAGGTACCTTTCTCTGAAGGGAGGAGAGAACTTCTGCTTTGACTATGGCCTTGTCTAAATAATGTTGGAGTTGGTGAACTGAAGAGGCTTCCATAGCCTTGGCAGCTCATGACAAGAGCCTTGGGTGATTACTGACATCATAAATAAGATTGTCAATTATTAAATCAACAACAGGAGTCACTGTGCACTTAGTTCCCATGTAGAATCTCTGTGCTTAATGTGTTGTACTATGTGAATTAATGGTAAAACTACTACTAAAACAGTACTCTATACTTTGTGTGTCTGCATGGGTACAAACTATTGAAATCTTTATTTAGTAAATACTAAATAGATCTTCTGTATATAAAGATAATTGAAAATGAATCATGATGGAGAATGGGATGGGAGAGGGAGTGGGGGATGCGATAGTTGCGGCTGGGAGGGAGGTTATGGGGGAAAAAGTCACTATAATCCAAAAGTTGTACTTTTGAAATTTATATTTATTAAATAAAAGTTTAAAAAAAGAAGTTAGTACCTATAATCCTTGGAATGACTTTGTATGTTGGGTGGAAAATGGTTGCTTTGTGTTTTGCTCAATCTGATATGAGGTTACTTTAACAAATTCATGCAAAATGACATTGGAAGTTAAGTTTATTTGGTACAAAAACTTTAAAAATCATGCATACAGGTTTTTTTTTTAAATATGTGAACGCATATTGGGAAAAACTTGTGCATGAATTTCATATTGTTTTGGCACCAAAATAAAGGCATCTTTTAGTTGGTGTGAGGTTTACCATAATAAACAGCTGGGAAGGAAGATCAAAACAAGTTCATGTTCCCTGCAGTACTTCCTGAATCTTAATACAATAGGACTTCAGTTTTGTTTTTCATTTTTCATATAATAGTGAAGTCTGATTGAATAATTGGGTCCTTTCCAAGACCAATGTCAATGCTTGGAATGCAAATCATTGCTTTACATTGATATTTGGATATCTATGCCTACATACATTGTTCCTGCACCACTGCAACTCAAATTCTTTTAATTTCAGGGGTAAAGGACCTCTAAAGCATACAACTGAAGTCATCTATGCAGCTAAAATGATTTCCGAATCAGGATCAAGAATGGATGTCCTAGCTCGACAGATTGCCAACCAAGTGAGTCACTTAAAATGGGCCTGGTGAAAGTTCATGCTAATTGCTCTTTGCCATTGAAACTTTGATTAGGACAACACTGGATTTTTCTATATGGGATTATTTTCCCCTAAACTTTAAGGGAATTATTTGTTTTATTTTTTATTTATTCATTTTTGTTTATGTGAAAAAGCAGAGAGAGGGAGGGAGAAACAGAGAAATCTCCCATCTGCTGTTTCACCCCTCAAATGCTCCCAATAGCCCAAGCTAGGTCAGACTGAAGCCAAGAGCTTGGATCTCAATAGGAGTCTCCTACATGGTTAGGAAGGACCTTAGTACTTAGCTATGGTTACCTCCCAGGATATAACTGCATGTGGAACTGGGACTTTAACCAGGCACTCTGACATGGGATTCAGGTAACCAATTGTTGTCTTAACTGCTGCAACATATACCTACCCCATTTTTAATTTTATTACATTATTAATGTATTAGTAGCTGACAAGTCTGAAGAAGCTTAGTTGTTCAAAGGTGGATTTTTTAGGTTTAAATATGCTCATATTTTTTAAACATAAGCTTTTCAGCTTCAGATATACTCAATTTGTTTTAATTGTTGTAATAACCAAACAGTTGTTTTTCATTGATACCTTATATTTTTTATTTTTGTTCCTCAGAAATCAGTATGTTTTAAAATTCTGTTATGTTAGAATTTATGTGTCAACACTTTATTTAAGCATTCTATGTAAAATTAAAAGGCAAATAATGATTAGTGGAATTTTAAATTAAAACTAAAAAATGAAGAAAGTGTGTTTTAAAGATTTATTTATTTATTTGAAAGGCAGAGTTACAGAGGCAAGGAGAAAGAGGGGGTGAGAAAGAGAGAGAGAGAAGAGGGAGAGAGAGATCTTCCATCCGCTGGTTCACTCCCCAGTGGCTGCATCGGCCTGAGTTGGGCTGATCTGAAGCCAGGAGCCAGGAGATTCTTCCAGGTCTCCCATGTGGATGCAGCGGACAAAGACTTGGGTCATCTTGTACTGCTTTCTCAGGACACAGCAGAGAGCTGGACTGGAAGTGGAACAGTTGGGACTTGAACTGGCACCAGGGTATATGGCATGCCAGCCCTGCAGGCTGTGGCTTTACCCAGTTTGCCATAGCACTGGCCCCAGAAAGTATATTCTTATAAAAACTAGAATTTCTAAACACTTCTGTTACTTTTCCTTGTATTTCTCACAACCCTATTCTAATTTTTAAACAGCAGCTACATTATTAGACTTTCTTTATGTCTGATTTTAATTGAAAAATCTGTCAGTTCCATAAGTTAGCATACTGGGAGAATAAATTAATATTTCAGAATGGGGTATAATATCCCTTTGAAGCTTTTATATTATATTCAAGTTCATAATACATATTTATTTCCCTTTAGGGGAAACACTTTTCTTTTTAACTTTGCAACTATTCTACATTATTTCTTGCTTATATACATGGGGGAACTTTATTGGGATGCTTGTTATTACCATTCAGTCTTGCTATAACATGTTCCTTGGGACATGAGGAACTCTTTCCTATTACAAATTTGTGGATACGGGCAAGAGAAATAGGATGAATAATAGCAGAGAAAATGTTTGAAAACATATATTGAATATACATGTGTATGGTATCTTGATACTTAAGCATTATAAAATTTTTATTAAACTTGGCTTTTTTAGTCTTTAGTATTCACAGCTAAAAACAAACTCTATCCCAATGTAAGTCAAAATTTCCTCATTGAGTGACTGAAGTCCATTCATGACTATGGTTTTTTCCTTATCTTGGGCTTTTATTGTATTACTTTTATAAGACTATTAGTCGAATACTTTTAGTGGAATACTTTTAATTTTTGAGATAATATGTTTGTAGTTTATATTTTAGTCAAAGGCAGTACTCCACTTAATAAAGAGTTCAAGAAAAACAAAGAAAGGAAGAGAGGGAAAGAGGGATGGAGAGGAAGGGAAGGAGCAAGGATAGTATCACTATTTTCTTAGAATTGTGCCTATGAACTACATTAAATCTGTTCTTTATATTAAAAAATACATTTTAATGACAAAAATAAAGTATCACATGCTCCCTATCATTGTTCTTTTGTTTACTTTGGAAGACATAATTTTCAATGTTTGAATAATTGTTTCAATTTTTTCTTATGTCGAGATTCTTCAATTGGATCATATCACCATATGGTGGATATTCGTATAACATACAATATTAAATCATTGTTCTAGCATTATTCAAATTGTATAGGGGAAAGTGAAAAGTGTTGTCTCACTTCCATAAAGCTTTGACATTTAAAGAGAAGTTTAAAAAGCAGTCATTGTCTAATGAAGAATTATGGGTGACTCTCTTCAGCATTTTCCACTTCATATAGTAGAGTAGTTTCAACTGAATTACTTTTGTTCTAGACAAATAATGTTCAGAAGAATCAAAGCTGAGACTAAAGAAACTGATTCAATGATGGCACTGACCCTGTTGCAAGACTGTCTTTGAGTGTGTGTCTGATACTGTTTGATAGAGTAACACAAAAAAAATTTTGGCAAAAAATAATATCTGAAATTGATGGTGAAATTCAGCTGAATAATGTCAGCAAGATGATATTCAATGTTTATGTTTGTGATGAAAAAAGTTGGCTGGAGCAATGGTTGGTTTGTGTTTTGCTCAATCTGATATGAGTGTGCTTCAACAAATTCATGGAAAATGACATTGGAAGTTAAGTTTACTTGGTGCCAAAATTTTAAAATTCATGCATACAGTTTTTTTAAAATATGTGAATGCATATTAGGAAAAACTGGTGCATGAATTTCATATTGTTTTGTCACCAAAATAAAGGCATCTTTTAGTTCCATTTTCCATGAACTTTCCAAAGTATCCTTTAAAGAAATTTACAGATGGGTGTTGTGACATAGCAGGTTAAGCCACCACTTGGGATGCCTGCATACTGTATTGGAGTGTGTAGGGATCCTGAGTCAGAGGTAATCTTCTGTGCTTCCTGTTAGTTCCTAGGCAGGATGGCAAAAGAATGATGACCCAAATACTTGGGTGCCTGCCACCCACATGGGAGATTTGAATGGAGTTCCCACCTCCTAGTTTCATCCTGGCCCAGCCCCACCTGTTGTGGACATCTGGAGAGTGAACCAGTGGACAGAAGATTGCTTTTTATCTCTTCTCTCTGTGTCACTCTGCCTTTCAAGTACATATATTACTTTAGCTGTTAAAATAAAACAGTTTATATGTGCTTTCTAGTCTGTTATTTGCTGATATATTAAAAGGTCAAGCACCAATTAATACCAATTCCATTAAATAAATATATATATATATATATATATATATATATATATATATACTTTAACTTAATTCTATAAAGTTTCAAAGTCAAAGTTCATCTGTAGCAAGAATGGAATGAAATCAGGTTAGCTTAGGTTTCTGATTCTGCTTGCCTGGCTGTTCTGATTTTTTTTTTTTTACCCTTCTTTGCTTCCCTGCTGCCTTGAACATATATATATATATATATATATGTATATATATATATATATATATTTTTTTTTTTGACAGGCAGAGTGGACAGTGAGAGAGAGAGACAGAGAGAAAGGTCTTCCTTTGCCATTGGTTCACCCTCCAATGGCCGCCGCGGCCAGCGCGCTGCGGCCGGCGCACCGCGCTGATCTGATGGCAGGAGCCAGGAGCCAGGTGCTTTTCCTGTTCCTGGTCTCCCATGGGGTGCAGGGCCCAAGCACTTGGGCCATCCTCCACTGCACTCCCTAGCCACAGCAGAGAGCTGGCCTGGAAGAGGGGCAATCGGGACAGAATCCGGCGCCCCGACCGGGACTAGAACCCGGTGTGCCGGCGCCGCAAGGCGGAGGATTAGCCTAGTGAGCCGCAGCGCCGGCCGAACATATATTTATTGTGTGTATACCACATATAGTTTACTAAATTGTCATTGCTACTATCCAGCTAAGAAGAGAAAAAAATAAAGCCTTCTGTCTAACCATCTAGTGCCTTCATGTAAGCTAATTTGCCCCAATAATCCAACATCTCAGTTGTCTCAAGATGATGTGGCAGTTTAAATATGTTATGCAAAAACTATTTGTTTAAATCCTGTAGAATTATGGTACAAATTTCATCTCCACTAAGCAGAATATTCCTAAAGGACAGCTTGTTAACTACCACAATTCTGAAGCACTTTGGTTATGAATAAACAAGATGTCTTGTTGGAGAAGTGTAACATAAATCCAAGATTTCGGAAACTGGTACACATTTCTGTTCTTCCATTCTGTGCTATAATTCATCAAAATTAGATGAATTAACACCTTATAAGCAAGAACTAATATATGATATGAGTTCAATTCGTTATGAAGCAAAGTACCCCAAATAGGAAAGAGAAACATAGGAGCCAAAATAAAACTAGCATCTGCTAAAGTGTTTTCCAGAAGGCAGGAACAAAATTGGATTTTTTTTTTTTTTGACCACTGGATGAGTTTTAAGAAATCTAATTACTCATTCATTGTAATTTTTGTCTGAGCCAAGACATCCAGACTATCACAACTAATCATAAAAAGGAGTGTTTAGTATTAAATACATTAACATTTAATACTAATTCAAGAAAAGATCAAATTTTAAAATCAAAAGATTTATATATATATATATTTAATTATGAACAAACCAACCTACAAGTATAATTTATATTGATTTTTAAAAATATTTTATTTATTTATTTGAGAGATAGAGTTACAGAGAGAAGAAGAGAAAAAGAAAGGTCTTCCATCTGCTGTTTCAGTCCCCAAACAGCCACATCAGTTGCAGTCTATGCGGATCCAAAGTCAGGAGCCAGGACCTTCTTCTGGGTCTCCCACATGGGTGCAGTGGCCCAAGCACTTTGGCACCTTACACTGCTTTCCCACACCGTAGCACAGCGCTGGATCCAATGAGTAGCAGCTGCTGGAACTAGAACCGGTGCCCATATGGGTGCTTGTGCTACAGCTGGAGGCTTAGCCCGCCACACC